GTTGCATTTTTCTGAGTATTTAGAAAGGCTGTTTGGAACGAGTTATCTTGTGGCAGCTGAAGGTATTGAGCAAGACTGAAGAAGCCTAGGGCTACACACAGTAGGAGAGATCTTGGCTCTGCACAAGTGGCCATTCAAAAGGCAACCAAGTACTGGACATTTTTTTTAATTATTTTTTGCAAATGGAATAAAAACACATTTGCATTCTACCTCTTAACTGCCTGAAAACTTAATTTTTATTCATCACAGAAAGGCTAATAAGTTTGTTTTTGTTTGTTTTATAGATTTTATTAATCTTGGTAATAAATTGTTAATAGAATCTCCAGCAAAATATTATTTGTGGTGTAGAGTTATTGTAACACTAATCCATAACACTGTAATGTCACCAGATGTCATCACTTCTGATCATCGATTGTGTGGCAAAGGCAAAGAAGTCAAAGGTTAAACATAATAACCATCCTTTGCACCAATATTTTAATTGTATTACCGTCTCATTGACCTTGTCAGTGTCTGAATCTGCCCTTGCACAATGTCTGTGTTATTCTCCAATTTGATGAGGTTTAGCCTCCGAAGAACATCACCATTACTGATGTCCCAGAAATATGCAATGGCATTTAATCCTTGACTCTTCAGAGTAAAGTGCTTATTGGATCAGGTTGCAGTGGAAGTGTTGCTTTGCCAATTACATTAAACTACCGTAAGCAAGACAAGGCTATTGAACAATTTTATTCATCTTTCATGCAGATGATTCAGAACAGTACTATCACTAATCCCAGTGTCCAGGAAGTGGTTCTGTGGTTCATTGAGAACTATGGAAGTGATTACAAAGATCTTCTTTTGTGATGAAACAGTCCTGGAAAGATGTAATTCAGCCATTCAGCTTATGGCAAATCAGAGTAGAAACAATTACCCTACACATGTTTAAGAACTTTGTAAAATGCAAATTGGAGGAGTCGGTGAGTAGAAGAAATTACTGCAGAGTATGATTTCTCTATAAAACTAGCTTCTGAACATTGTGGTATTAAAAAGATACAATTTAGCTTTAGATATGTGACTATTTTCCAGTTTTATAATGCAGTAAACCCTCGCTTTACTGGAATAATAGGGAGAAAGGGCTATATTGCCAGTTGCCCATTAAATTACCAATTCAATTCAATTTCAAGCTAAAAAAAACACACTCGTGGAGCTGAAAAAATGCTTTCAGAAGTGACCCCATCTTTTTGGATATGGAAATAGACTACTAGACTTGATATCTTTGAGGACCTTCAGCCACAGTAAATTGTGTAACCTTTCTTTACAGGTGTCAATCTGTGAAAGCCGGCAACCCACTGAAGCTAAGCAGGTGTGAGCCCGGTACCTGGTTGGGAGACCTCCTGGGACCTCCAGGTTGCTGCTGGAAGAGGTGTTAGTGAGGCCAGCAGGGGGCGCTCACCCTGCAGTCCATGTGGGTCCTAATGCCCCAGTATAGTGACGGGGACACTATACTGTAAATAAGCGCCATCTTTCGGATGAGGCGTAAAACCGAGGTCCTGACTCTCTGTGGTCATTAAAAATCCCAGGGTGTTTCTCGAAAAGAGTAGAAGTGTAACCCCGTCGTCCTGGCCAAATTTCCCATGCCTCCTAATAATCCCCCTCTATGAATTGGCTACATTACTTTGTTCTCCTTTGTTCTCCAACGCGCCGGTTGGAGTATTTCTCGGTTGCAGTTAATGGCAACATCAGCTCAAAGATTTGGTTCAAACCACCAAATGGAGACTGGTGTGCCGACATCATTTTCAACTTTCTATCCCAGTGTTGTAACACATTTATCAATACACACTGTGTGATCAACAATATAGAGTTAAAAACCTCAGGAGTGTCTCAATTTACAGCTGTTAATTTGCTTGAGAACCTGTTTGCCTATTTAGGTTGTGAATACATGTTCTTAAAGTGTGACGTTTTATATGGTATACAGGACAATGGGTTCAAAGTGAAGTGACAAGCCGCTAGCTCAAACATAACGCCTCCAGAAAGGACTAGGTATAAAACACGGCAATCATGATTTTTATTTACTTGTATTGTTTTTATTATAAAATCTTCATGTTGACATTTAGGAGCATGCCTTTGAGTATTAATAAAATATTTAATACATTTTTCTGGATTATGTATCATAAATGTTTCTTGGTGCTCTTGAACAATTAAGAAATTGCAAGAAACAGCAATTAAGAAAAGTCATATACACTCCACAGTATATACTGAAAGTATTTCAGTGATATTTTTAACAGACTGTACAGTATCCTTACGCTAAACTAAATTTCAGTTCATACTCACCAAAGTTCAATATGCAGTAACGTTTGTAACAGATACACAAAAATATTCATCATAATATTATAATTCTGTACTAAATTTCTTGTTTTTAATAGAAATATCAATGTTCAATTAATCAATTAATGTTCATAAACCCTTCTTCGCCAGACCAATTTCAATATGGTCTCACTGCTTTCCTAATTGAAATGAATTACTTGAGAGCCTATATTGTTTATGGTCTGAACAGCAGATCAAATCTATCCTGTAGAAAGAAGAAGTGAAGATCAATAATATACGGAACCGTTAAAAGGAAGTAGAGGACAAGCACCTCCTTATCATGCTGTGAATGTGGAAACTGAGGCTTTTCATGAGCCATTTATTTAAAGGGCAATAGCGTATAACCCTTTACTCTTTAGCGACATTAGAAGTGGCAAGAGAACATTGAAGAACTAATTAGAGAGGAAAAGTTGATTGAAGAAAAGCTATTACAAAAACATCACCTAGAGACTTTAAAACAGCCTTATCTGTTAGCTCGCGGGACTTAAAAGTCTCATATACAAAAATCATAAATGTATGCTTTTGAAAATACATTTCCCAGAAGAGCATTGTCATTTCTGTGCCCTTGACATAAACAGAAAACATAAGTAACAAATAAAGAAAAGTGCAGCAGATATTAAATTCCAATATTCAGGAATATTTAGATTGTAAATGCATTACTGGGCAAAACTTCTAGACATCCTAGACATGATCAGCAGTTACACTATACAGTATGTATAGTATATTACGTATATTACAAGCATCAGCTATTTACTTAAATCTTTCATGAGAATTGTCTGCAATTATAGCATTTCATTACTGTTATTCATCCATGTTAGTTTGAGCAAGAAGAAACTGGAGATGACAAACTGACAGAAAGACTGCCATTTAATAAAGTTCATTTCACTTGGACAAGGATTCCCAAACCCAATCACAACAACTCAAGGTAAATTCTGTACAAGCATCCAAGGCAGTGCTGCAGCAGCTTATCCATCACATTAGCAATCAAACATTGTAGGAGCTAATGTACCGCATTAAATCTAATATCTCATTGTCAGGTGTGCTTCATCATTAGCATACAGTAATTTGATCCTCTCTGTATATCCATGACGCTAAAAGGCTACAATATGTTTTGAACCACAAAATACAGGTTCAATTGGTAGCCTAAATAAACAATGGTTGAAAAATTGTAATAGAATATTCTGATATGGTTTTGATAAAGTGAAACATAAACTGAAAAGTGAAAATCGTAGGCAAATAAGGAAATGCGTGTATTTGGATTCAGAACTGTTTGATTGAGAGAAAAAATACAGATAAGATGTGAAACACTCAAATAGGTATGAAATAATTTCTTAATAGTATTGGTCACTAATTAAATAGTGAAGTATCACAGAGATCTTTATTAAGACCAAGGTGGAACACAGACCAGAGGACACAAGAGGAAAACAAGTTGGAAGTGCTCTTAAAACTGAGAAGAGGATGTTCTTCTTTTTATAAAGGGTCATGGCAGTCTGGACAAAGCTGCGCATCCATGTTGTAAAATCAAGTGTTGAGGTTTCTTTCAAGAAGCACCTGGGTAAGCTTTTTAGATCAATTAGCCACTAGTTCAGTAGTTTGGGTAGATCCTATTGAATGTGATAGAGGGATAAAAGATGTATAGAGTACGTGGTGTGACTTGCCTAGCTGAGAGAATAGCAGTCTAGCCATAACTTCAAGGCTGCCCAAACCCACCTTATTTTTGAAAGGAATGAGCCAGGGAGCTGCTGTAAGAGTGAAGATGGGGTAGCAGTAGGGGTGCCAGAGAGATATGTGAAGGGAAGTCTTAGGTACAGAACTTACAGTATATATACACAGGTGAGCAGAAATGTGTGAGATGAGCCTGTAGCCTTCCCCTCGACCCTCTGTCATAAATGGCCTGCTCTTGTTTTAATTTTTTTAATGTCTTTACATTCCTGCTATTATCCTGAGTGAATATGTATTACTGTAAATATGATCTCTTCATTCCTAGTCTCTCTCTGTAATTTGTCATTTGGCAAAAAACCAGGGCAGCAGCGTTTGGGGTTCTCGTCTCATGACTTGAAGGCTGTATGTAAGACACTGCTGCTGTATCCCTGTGCAACTTGCTACTTCGCCTCTATTGCTCCAGTAAAATAGCTAGTAGTATAAACAGGTGTACAGCAAGTTGCTTTGGATAAGTGTATCAGGCAAATAACTAAGGAATAGTAATAAACAGTAATTCTGAAAAGATTCCATTTGTGTCTCCATACTAAAAAATATGTGACGTAAATAAAAATCTGTTTACAAATTTGTGCTACTTGTGATCATTCTTGAAGAGTTTATGTCGCCATATTATTACAAAGATTATGCTCATTAAATACTTAGCAAATTCCATTCTGCAAAGATATAAAAGTACATCCATGACACATTGTAGAGGTCATACTGTAGTTTGCTGTCGTATCCCAGAAGCCATTCATGTGCCCTGGAGCTTGACCTTCACAATTTATTAACTTTCGCTTCGTGGAACGTTTAGGTTCAGTACAGACACTCATTTTGCGGGACGCTTCTTCAAATTCAAATATTTTTCTCAGTTGTGAGTGAAGAATGTAGATTTGGACTTTTGAAGGTAAGGGTAAAGAGCTTAACAAACAGCACAGTAATTCACCAAGAAAAGACAAAAGTATTGGACAAAGACGTTGTCCTTTAATTTCTGAATTAAACAAAAAGGTTTCTTCTTTGGATTCAAGTCTATTGTATTCAATTATAAGCTTGCACATCTGAGGAGTTTGATACAAACAGCAACACTTCCATTAACAATTAACACTGTACAGATGTATGCAATTGATCACGTTTGCTTCTGTTTTATTTAACCTACTTAGCAGTGACTGTGTGCTGAGCCCTCAAGGTCTTAACATTTCTAACCGTCAGATTGAATTAGCTGTCATAAGTACAACTTAAATCCTAAGCAGTTTTTGGTGAGTGACTCATGGTCCACATCCACTGGGGGAAAAAAAAAAGTTTTGTATTTGATTGTAGACTCGTGAACCTGAAAAATAAGCAAAGCGCAACACAATCAGCTTTCGTCGCCCTTTTTTACAAACCATTTGAAACACAGAACCAAAAGAAGACCACACACACAAATCCTCACAAATGAACCCTAGGCAAGAAATCAGTTGCATTGTGCAATAAAAATTCGACCTCATCATCAGTATCTCTTGAAGCCACCATTGGCCCTCCCCCACTATAGTACAAATCTTCCTATATAAATATATATCTTCTATAAAAGATAGCAAGACAGGACAGGATGTAATGAAGCAGTAGGAGGGGGGTCAATGTGGTGTCTCCCTAAGCAGCATCAAGATTTATTTTGCCTGCACTGAGACCAGACAACTAAAACTTCTCCTGCCATTGCAAGAGGCCGGCATCTATATTATTTACAGTATGTTATCATGTACAGTAGTCAAAGTACTCAGAAAGAACAAGCAAGAGTCTTATTCAGAATCATGGCTAAGGAAGAGCAAACTTGTCTCCAAAAAGGAACTACAGTGCATCTTGGCATTCTGAAACCATAAGGAAGAGTTGCCCCACAGTGCCTCTAGGGCAAAACACATGGCATTTTTTCCTGACTAAAAAAAGCATTTATCATATGAGTGACTACCACTGACTTTGAAATGAAAGAATTAAGATTGCGTGAGCTCTGCGGTGGCAACAAAGACCTCTGTTTTCTTTCATCTAAAGTATTTTTTAGGTCTGGTCACAGAAAGCTTAAAAGACAGAAAATGTAAATGCTAAACAAAATGCTACTACAGTGTCTATGTGTTTTTTTAGATGTTATTTTATTTATGTGTTCCAGTTCTCAATTTGTTTACTGTTGGCTATATGTGTAAACGTACAGTAATTGCTATTTGTGTGCAGTTTTCTTATGCTACAGTATGTTTGGCACTAATTCCAGTACAGCAAATCAAGGATAAGTTTCTTTCAAATTATACTTTTTGTTTTTCATTTAGTTTGACAGGTGATAAAAGGCTTCACCTTTGCATTTTTTTACACAGTACCTTTGAGAAGTCCTGGCAGATGTTATTTTCACGGAATCCTAAACAGGTCGAAAAACAATCTAAGCAGGAAGAATAATAGAGTATCACACATACGGCATCAAATTAAGTACGGAACAATACAGAAACTGAATTTAAAAACAGTCCTTTGAAGTCAGTCCTTATGTATTGACTATTGTCAGAAAGGTAAAAGGTGCGTTTCCATGCTTTTATTTATAATGATTGCTGCTATTTTCTGTGACTGAAACCAATCCAAACTGATGTACATCTGCACCCACTGATACAGTTACACCCATTCAGGTTCTGAGAGAGCACCTCAATAACCTCAAGCTACATTTTAAAAGGGCTTTCAGCTGTACTATGCAAGCAGACTTGGATGTGTTTCACATGCACTGTACATGTACGTACGATTCCTTCAAAAGTTCAAAAGTGGAAAAAACAAATAAGCCCAGGTACTGTGTCCCTAAAACAAGTTCAAGATTAAGGGTAAGCATCATTGCTTTACAAGCATAAGGTATGTCAGAGCATTGATTGCATGTGACTCATTAAAGGACCTAGTTTTTAAAGGGTGTGAGCTCAAAATCCTGCCCAGCTGCCCAGCAAGAGGCAAGATTGTTAAAAGCAGCACTGAGGCGGGGTGGGAAAGGATTTAGCTGATGGGACAGGGAACAGAGCAGTGAAGGTGTGGAGAAGGCTTGGAATAATGCAAGGCATGATGTGCTCCTTTCTGAATTAATACACTGCTGATTAAACTTACTCCGGCGTGGAGGAGTCCTTGCTCCACCCCTGACACTGTGCCAAAAGCCTGATAAATAAATACGTCGAATGAGCTGTCAAGTCATGTTGTTGCTGTTTACAGCACACCCTTCCAGACCTGGCCAAGTGCTCTCTTTAACAAGTCCGAATGTGCTTTTGTCATCCGAAAACTTACGTGTGCTGCAGAATTTAAACTCAGTGAGTTACAGTTCAAGGTAAAACAACTGACTGTTTTTGAGTCTATTTAAAAAAAATATCTTTTGAACTTGAAATGGTACATTTTTAAGGTGACATTCCTGCTTGGGATACAAAAGCACACATCTACTGTAGCTGCTCCTTTGGAAAACCACCTATAAACTTCAAAAAGTGCTTCTTGCAATACATTCTATAAGTTTCCACTGTGTTCTGTTTCAACATCTGACAAAGTGCCTGTTTTTTCCGAAGGTTTCCATGGCAACCAAGATGATCTGTGACTCATTTATGGAATAAGGTCTCCCACTGGTTACTGGAAAAAATGTCTTAAGTGTTTATGTGCCAAATAATTAATTTCTTCTAACCAAATACTAGCTATTTATTTTCCGATTGAATCAGCGACACATTGGTAATCAATTATCTTAAATGCAACAATTTTAAAATAATTACAAATGTCATAACAATCTTTCATTCTCCCTGATGTATTCCCTCCCTTAATAATTACGTATAAAAAATGCATACAAAAATAATTTAATTGAACAAAAAAAAGTCAAAATGGGGACCAGAAAGAAAAACTACAGAGAGACTCATGTCCCACATACTGTAAAAATACCTAGTATTAGTCTCACAACTGGTGTCATCTAACTTGTGTCCTGAAAAATATTAATCAATACACCATGGATTTATATGTAATCTTAACTAAGTAGAAAGTGGATATAAAAAACGTTTTGGTACTTTGTTCTGGAAAAAAAATGGATTTTTAAGCTTGTTATTTGCTTATACTGTAAGTGGTAAGTAATATTTCCGTTTTAGCACCAAATGGTGAAACTGGCATCCTTTGTAAATCACTTAAATAAGATGAATTGAACCCCTGTCTATCAATTGTTTTCATGGCAAAACCTGTGAACAGGCTGTACTCCATACTCTGAACTTGTGATGTACAAGATAAGGTAGAGCTAGGAGAGAAAGTATATATGGTATGATTTCATAATAATTATGAAACCTTCTAGTCATTTCGCAATGTCAGTACCTCCAATTATAGCACACGGTTGAAAAACTGAGGATGTGTCTTGTAATTCACAAGATTGCAAAAAACACATGAGGTTGTGAAGCCTTTTTTTCTGCTGGTTAAGTACAGTACATCTTAAAAGCAGATCTTGTACTGTGTTAAAATGTTGTAAGATGCATTTTCAATTTGCTCTATTTCCTGTCCTGTTTTAAACCTTCTCCAGATACTAGATATAAAGCACCTCCTATAAGAACTCAGTTTTGATCACAAAATATAATAGTCAAGATACCCATTGCATTAAGTGGCACATTATATATAATCCCCCATTCCCCACGGGCCTTTATGGCCTGAAAAGGGACCTACCTTATATATAATCTTCCTTAATTTTATTATGCAGTGTAACAGCTTCTTGTGCTACAGAATAAACCTCAAAAGTTGAAGACAGGTGAATTACAAAACAGGAAAATATTTCATATTAAGTATAGCTCTGACATACTCATAATCTATCAACATACCATACAATTCAATTAAGATTATAACAACAGAATTTTAACGAAACAGATTATCAGGAAATTGCAAGAAACAGGAAATGGGATTTTTAAAGATTAAAATATAAAACAGTAGACACAAGAATGATTATTAAAGTGCAGTAAAATGGAGACTTATTGAAAATGGTATAGTACTCTTTCAGAATGCCAAAGCAAATACAAAATCACTGTGTCTTCTTAATGCTTAAAGGTAGTACAATACCTGTGAAATGTTCATGCAAGAAAAGACTAGACTAAAAAGTGTTGACCACAGATATTAATAGTTGAATTAATCACAACAGTATGTCTTCAATCAGCTAAAATACCACTTAATTGATATTGAGTTAAACAATACATCAATTACTATTAGGCATGCCTTTTAGGACCTTACATTACAGAGAATTACCATTAACTGTATTCACAAAAACATACTGCTACCAACATCCAATGCATAGCTGTTTTATGACTGTATGACTGGGTTTTTAGTTCCTACAACATTATTGATATGTTCGAAAGTTATCTAATTGAATGAAAATACAGAGCTGCCATCCAATTAACCAAGAGGCTTCTAGTTTGAAGAGACATGCTATTATAATGAGAACTGTTAATGTTTCTTCTTTTAATATTTTTATAAAAATTCTGAGATTTAGAAAACTGTATTACCTTTTGGGAATATCACGCACTTCAACAGATTTCAAAGATGGAAAAACATTTGATAACCTAGTAAACAACCTACTGTATAGTAAGCATTATATAATGGAGGTATTGCAAAGTTTGCTCAATAAACAAGCATTGGGGTGTTATAACCTATGGAAGTTTCTTTGGAAGCTGAACGTTTAAATACCTTCACCTGCTAATTGTTGCTAGATACAGTATGTTTCTGCTGGAGTAAGGTGCACTTTGTAAGGTGTGGATCTTAAGACTGATCGTTTAAGGTCATGAATGACCTCTGTGTCAGCACATCTCGATTTACAAATGCATGGTTCCCGTTACTTTAAGTCCAGAGATATTTTAGTGCAATGTTTGCCAAGTTCAATTTTCTACTTCTAGAATCACTAGCAGTAAACTGATTGCTTTAATCCTTGCTTTCAAACATCTAAGATTAAAAGTCAATATTCAATCTGTGAACAAGAGATGAGTCCTTTGTCAAATCAGTCAACTTACTGTATCATACAGTATTTGTTGTACGTTAACGCTTAATTGAGAAGCTTCCAGATAGCTACACATTTCTGTTCATTCTCCAGGATAAAGACCTTAAGCAAAGCAAACTCTACTCATTCTTGGGCATATTATGTTATTAGAGAGAGAGAATCTTGATTAATTTCTTCACACAACATACATACTGATTTCACGCTCAGTAATTCATTACTTAATTTTACTGGTCAGGGAAGTTCTCAGACTCCTTCGGTGACACTCTCTGCAGTTGTAAATTAAATGTAAAATGACATTGGGAATCTAAGAATATCAGTAATAACAATTTGTATTTACAGTATCAAAAACCACTATGGTC